AAGTGAAAAGAGTGAGCGAGTGTCATAGTTAGGGTGTTTTGATCCTGATAAGTGAAGTGTTGTATCTTGGTCCATATTGTGTTCGTGTAATTATTTTGTTAATTTAACAAAAATAATTACGTCCGTGTCTACATGTTGCTGTGTGTCCTCAACTCAACAACTAATACCTTAATATTTTCAAACCGTAGTACCAAGTCGAACCGACTAATTAATATTATGGTTGCTACATAATTGCTTAAACTGAACATGAACAATATTATCTATCAATTGGGTGATTTATTAATGTATCTGAATTTAGGACCAAAACAATTAGTATTTATTTATACTATTAAAGGTCACTCATATAACCCTACTATTCATATATTTGTATTCAATTAGCTCGTATCAATTACATATTTCGTGGACTTTTATTGCATTTTGATGATGCAATTAACTATAAGATTAAATAGCGAATATGATTAGCATAGTCACATATATATATATATATATATATATATATATATATATATATATATATATATATATCCACTACATATAGTTGTATAATACGTTGAGCCTAAATGGCAGCCTCACGTGCTTCAGAATACTTGGCGAACAACCATGCTTCATAGTTTGGTTTGGATAAAAATAATATTATTATAAATCAATAGTTTTATGTTCGAACATTCCAAAAATATTGAAAAACTAACTTGGTAATTTCACAATAGTTTGACTAATATAACCCTTGAGTTGCATGGGAAGTGGGAACTATTAGCAAGACTTCAGTGACCAATCATTTAATGCTCAATGGATAAAGCATTTTACAACTCAACCCCTGAACCTTTCTATATTTTTTGTCCTTTATTCTTTTTGTACGATGCTTGTACATTTTAGTCATGCATGGGCTGTTTTCATCTAAGCCATTGGATGATCTTGTAGCCGTTGGATAGCTGGTTCATTTACCAGTATTGGAACCCTAGGTCATAGCTTATATAAAGTGTTATACAATAGCCTCCATGTTAATGAGGTATCATTTAATGTACACAATTTTCTGTGAACTCGTGACCTAGCTTTTTTTTTTGTAATTCCTTGCTTTTACTTTCGATCAATAGCAGCTAAGATAAGCCTTTATGGTATTGGAGCAGGATAAGATCCTGCCTCTAATTCTTTCATTTTTTTATTTCTTTTTACCTCGTTATCTACTCCCTGCACCATGACAACTCCAAACACTCAAATTTCCTTACCTACTACAGATCAACACCTTTTTCTTCAATCACAGCTCATTAGTGTCAAGCTGAATGACACAAATCACTTGCTATGCTGACAGCAAGTTCTCACTGCAATTCGGGGCTATGGATTGGAGCATTTCATCACAGGAGCTCAATCACCCCAGACGAGTATCTAGAAAGCTCATCTAGCCATGAGAGGTCTCTCAATCCTACACAGTTGTTGTGGATCAGGCAAGACCAACTTTTAGCATCATGGTTGCTCTCTTCTGTTTCTGAAAGTGTGCTTGTCACAACTATGGGTCTTACCACATCCAAGTAGATCTGGGAGTGCATTGAAGCTTCCTTTGCAAGCCAAAGTCATGCAAAAATTCTGCAGTACCGACTTCAACTCCAGACTATTAAAAAAGAGAATTTGTCCATGAAAGAGTATCTCAACAAAATTAAGACTTGTTGTGACCTACTTGGATCTGCAGGTGAAAGGGTTAGTGAGAGAGATCACATTCTTTATATCCTCTCAGGCTTGCCATAGGAATATAACCCAGTTCTTGTCACCCTCACTACAATATTTCCTCCTTGCCAACTGATGGAAGTATACTCCATTCTTTTGAGCTTTGAATCCAGAATTGATGCTCAAGAGTCTCATTTGTCTGCAGCATCTGACAATGGGAATTTCTCTGTTAAGGTTGTCACACAACACCAAAGCTCTTTTCATGGTCATTATGCAGGCCGTGGCAACAACAGAGGTCGAGGCAGAAACATGTCTCAAGGAAGTCGAGGGAGAGGCAGGACTTCAAACAGAGGAAAAGGAAGAAGCTATGACAATGGCAAACCAAAGTGCCAGATCTCTCATTACACCAATCATACTGCAGAACGGTGTTACTATAGAACTGACCTTAGCTTCACTCCTCGAGACAGATACCTTGCTCAACAAAACAACAACAATCCCAATGTCAACATGGTACACATGCATACTGATCAACAAAGCTCTTCAGATAGCAGTTGGTTCCCTGATTCTGGAGCCACAAACCATGTGACCTATGACCTCTCCAATCTCAACAATCCATCAGAGTATCAAGGTCATGACAAGGTGCAAGTAGGTAATGGAGCAGGTTGGATATCTCTCACTATGGTAATTCTACTTTTCAGTCTTCTACTACCTGTTGTAGCAACATATATTATTTTTACCGAGTACCGAATCAAAGACTCGTTCCCTGGGTCGATATCTCGAGAAAGACGGTTCGGAATTTAGCGTTGGTATTAATCACACACGAAAGAAAAATAAGTCCTAAAGAGTGTAATCACGATTGATTTGGGAATTAACTAAAACACGCTAGAACTAGAAAAGCAATTTAAAGAAATAACAATTAAATTTCTAGGGAAAAAAAAGAAGTTCTAGGGGTCGGGAAATCTCATCAAGTCCTAAACTATGTAGAATGCTTATTTGTTCGGTTACAAGATTTAACAAGCCTACACGTCTAGAGGGCAATGCTCAATAACTCTTCGTAACAAATGCACATACATAAAACGATAAACTCATTCAAATAAGCAACACATAGACAATACTTTTACGAACATGTCTACTCTACGAGCCTAAATTGACCGACGTCTCCCCACTCGGTTCTAAACGTCGATTAACTAGGTTAGAATGGTGATCAATCAACTAACCCTACAATTCACACAACTCGCATAGATTGAACAAAACACATTCCCCACAATTCAAAACAAGAATCAAAATCCCTAACCCTAGGTGAATGGATTACCTCAGGCTTAGATTCAATTTCATGTTAAACGAAATTAAGAACATAAAACCAATCAACAATAATAAAATAGAATTGAAAAACTTACAATCGAATTAAGAGTTGCAAGATTTCAATCTAAATATCTTTGTGTCCAACAATCCAAGCATGGGAGAAAAAAAAAAAAGAAAAGCGCATAAAATTATCCTAACAATATTGAGTTTTTGGAGAGAAAAAGTGTAAAAACGAAGTCTGGAGTCGAATAGAGTGCCCTAGGTGCAAAATCTGACTTAAAATCCCCCATCTAGATTTTCGCATCGCCAAGTCGCGAGTCGTGACTTATCCACTTCCTTGGGTCGCGAGTCGCGCGTCGTCAATTTCTTCAAAATCTGGGGTTGGTTGCGACATATCTCACGAGTCGCGACTTTCATGTCGCGAGACGTGACTCCATGTCGCGAGTCGCGACTCGAGCTCGCGAAATGCACCTTTCGGCTCTGTTTTTCTCGCGAGTCGCGACTCGGGCTGCACTGCGCCACTTTATGTTTCAGGCTCGTTCGAACTCGGAATTGAGTTTCGTATTTTGCTATGCGTTGCCAATGAACCCCTGTATTCAACTATGCTCTCGAAACCAATTTTTCCTGTTGAGAAAATTCGCCCAAAGCTTCCGACCTACACACCAAAAACGACAAAGCACGAATAAAACTGGAAAAACAAACGAAAAACACCGAAGGACTCAAAATGAAGGAAAACACAGAATAAAACACAAAACGGACTCTAAACGAAATAAACGACCTAAAAAGGGGGAAAAAGAAAAGCAAAACAAGGACGAAAAATCCAACAAAAATGGGACAAACACTACCAAACCTTTTATACTCAAAAACCTTCTTCATGTTCCTTCTATAACAAAAAATCTCATCAGTGTTAGCCAATTTGCTAAGGATAATCAAGTTTTTTTTTTTTTTAATTTCACCCCACTTTTTGTTTTGTGAAGGCACAATCAACAGGCAAGATCCTACTTCGAGGCATTCTTGATCATGGCCTCTATAAGTTTCACTTCCCTCAACCATCTATCAGTTCCACTCTCAGTCACTCCTCTCAAGATGATCATCACAGTTCCATTTCAGTCAACTCCATTGCAGTCAAGAATAAATTAGATTTGAACACGTGGCATTGTAGGTTGGGCCACCTTTCCCTTGACATTGTAAAAGATGCTCTTCATCATTGTAACATTTCTTTCAATCTGAGCAATGAAAAGTCTACTTGTGTTATTTGTTTGCAAGCTAAATTTCATAAGCTTCCTTTTGGTGTTTCTGATTTCAAATGTGGCTTGTTTGATCTCATTCATACTGATTTATGGGGACCTACCCCTACCACATCTTTTAATGGTTTTAAATACTATGTTAATTTCATTGACCATGCATCAAGATACAGCTGGTTATATCTACTTAAAAAAAAATATGATACACATGCAGCCTTCTTACATTTTCACAAACTTGTCCAAACCCAGTACAACCATAAGATCAAAAGTGTTCAAAGTGGTGGTGGTGGTGAGTTTATGGCACTTTCCAAATTTTTTCAGCAAGAAGGCATTAAACACAGACTTTCATTTCCACATACACCTGAACAAAATGTCCTTGCTGAGATAAAGCATAGGCTCATTATTGAAGTAGGTCTTTCCCTTCTTGCTACATCTCATGTCCCTAATTTACACTGGGATTCAGCCTTCACCACAGCCAGTTACCTTATCAATAGGACACCAACTAAAATCCACAATTTTATTTGTTATTATGAAGTGCTGCATGGCACAAAACCAGATTACACCAACCTTAGAATTTTTGGATGCCAATGCTTTTCCTATTTAAGACCTTATAATACTATTAAACTCTAATTTAGAATCATTCCTGCCACTTTTTTGGGCTATATCCTTTCCCATAAAGGATACAAAGTTCTTCTACCCGACAACAAAATCCTCATAAGAAGACACATTATTTTCAATGAGACTGTCTTTCTTTTTCACAAACCTTTATCTCCCATTCCACATACCCCTATCCAACAAATGTTGCCATCATTAGCCCCTCATGTCTATCCCAACTTAAGAATCTCTCCAACACCACCTACACCACCTCCACCATCCCCACCTCCAACTTCAGCACATTCTTCATCTTCCTCTCACATCTCTACTTCTTCTTCTTTCAGTCCTAATTCACCCTCATATTCTCATTCTCCACATAACATATCTCCCATGCAAAGTATTCCTCCAGGTAGTAGACTGATTGTGGATTTACCTATTGTGACTGATACTTCTGCTTCTATACCTAACCATGATTCTGAGATTTTAGGCCACCATCATATGATCACAAGATCAAAGGCAGGCATTTATAAACCAAAGGCACTTGCCTTATCCTCCACTATTCTTCCTGAGCCAAAGAACATTAAACAGTCTCTAGCTACCCCAGAATGGAAGCAAGCTATGGAAGTGGAACTTTAGGCGGCTCTCCATAAGCACAACACATGGTCATTGACTCCTTTACCTCTAGAGAAGCAGCTCATTGGCTGCAAATGGGTATACAAATCCAAACTCTTAGCTGATGGCTCACTAGACAAATACAAAGCTAGACTTGTAGCTAAAGGGTTCTCCCAAGTTCCAGGCTTTGATTACACAGACACATTCAGTGCTATTGTCAAACCTTCTACAATCAGAGTGGTGTTATCTCTTGTACTCTCCCATAACTGGTTGATCAAGTAGTTAGATGTAGCAAATGCCTTCCTCAATAGTGATCTTGATCTTGACTTATATATGGCTCAACCACCAGGATTTGAGGTACATACTCCTCCAAACTTGGTTTGTAAACTAAGAAAGACACTCTATAGCTTAAAACAGGCTTCAAGAGCTTGGTCATCTAAGCTCTCTACTGTGCTCAAAGATAATGGCTTTTGCTCCTCAAAATCAGATACCTGTCTCTTCTATAGACACACAAAGTCTTCTATCTTACTGGTTCTGGCATATGTCGATGACATTATAGTGACAGGTTCTTCTTCTACTGAGGTTGATACACTCATTAGAACTCTGAACTCACATTTTCCAATTAAGGATTTGGGCATTCTTCATTATTCCTTAGTGTAAAGTTCACTCACAACTCTGATGGCATGTTTTTATCTCAATCTAAATACATAAAGGATCTCTAATTGAAGATGGGTATGTCTGAAGCAAAAGGATCCATCACTCCTATGAACACTCATCCTCCTCTCTCCAGGACTTATGGGATCTCCTATTGAAGATGTTACTCTTTATAGAAGTTTGGTAGGTGGTCTACAATATATTACTGTCACTCGACCTGAAATTGCCTATAGTGTCAATAAACTTAGCCAATTCATGCACAACCCTCTTGACACTCATTGAAAAGCCATGAAAAAGATGTTCAGATATCTATCAGGCTCCATGCATTATGGTTTACATCTTTATAAAAACACTTCTTCTCAGCTTATGGCATTTGCAGATGCCGATTGGGCCACGGATCCCGATGACTGTAGATCAGTTTTTGGGTTTTGTACTTTCATGGGCAAGAAACTCATCACATGGAGTTCCAAGAAGCAGCAATCTATTTCCAGGAGTAGTACATAGGTTGAGTACAGAAGCCTAGCCAAGGCAAATTGTGATCTTATGTGGCTTCAGTCATTACTTGCTGAACTAAAGATGTCATCTGCTCATACTCCAATAATTTTGATTGACAATCTTGGAGCAGTTTCCTTAGCACAGAACCCTGTTCATCACTCAAGGATGAAACATTTGGAAATTGATTTACATTTTATTAGAGACCAAGTAGCTCACAGAAAGGTTAAGGTGCAACATGTTCCCTCCTTAGATCAGGTAGCCGATATCTTCACAAAGCCTCTTTCTAAACAATTCTTCACGCGTCTGAGGGAAAAGTTGCATGTTCATCCATCAGACATGTTCGAATTGCGGGGGCCTATTAGCAAGACTTCAGTGACCAATCAATTAATGCCAAATGGCTAAAGCATTTTACAACTCAACCCCTGAACATTTCTATATTTTTTGTCCTTTATTCTTTTTGTACGATGCATGTGCATTTTAGTCATGCATGAGCTGTTTTCATCTCAGCCATTGGATGATCTTGTAGCCGTTGGATAACTGGTTCATTTACCAGTATTGGAACCCTAGGTCATAGCTTATATATAGTGATATACAATAGCCTCCATGTTAAGGAGGTATCATTTAATGTACACAGTTTTCTGTGAACTCGTGGCCTAGCTTNTAGCTTTTTTTTTTGTAATTCCTTGCTTTTACTTTCGATCAATGGTAGCTAAGATAAGCCTTTAGGAACCTTTGGTAGTGATATTTTGATTTACTTTGGAAGCTCTCAATCGACTCATTAATTTCTATGAAAACCTAAAATTAGTCTAATAAATACAACAACAACAACAACAACATACCCAGTATATTCCCAACAGGTTGGGGTCTGGGGGGTCAGTTGTACGCAGACCTTACCCTTGTAATTATACAAGGAGGCTGTTTCCTAGCGACCCAAGGTGCATTGCGCCGTTTGATTTTTTTTTTTTTTCTTTAGAAACTTCACTAATAGAAGAAACACTGGAATTTAATTGAGCCATTTTGATCTAGTTCATTATTAACACTATGCCAGGAGAATTGTCAACAATGACTCTTCCAGTTCTATTTGCAATCGACAAAATTAGTCTAATAAATACATATATTTAATTTTAAACAATTGTTATTGTTATTATTATTTAATTTAATTTTAAAATAATTTTCTAAATAAGTACCCGTATAATACATTGGTATTGTACTAATTTAGAGATAGAAAATTAATATTTCCTTAGAAATCACATAACAGTACAATGGAGAGAACATAAAGAAAGAAACAAAACGCAGATAAAACAAATCTAAACCTGATCCAGAATAATCCTCCCTGGCTACCTCTCACATACATACGTGTAAGCTATTATTTAATAAAGCAAAATGATGACGTGGCCAAACAATCACAAGTGATGATAGACCAAAAGCATATTGAAATATAATAATTTAAGGTAAGTTGATTGTCTTTTTTTGGTCTGAAAGCCAAGTGACGAAGTTTTGGAGCGTAGTCCCGTCAGCCCTGTAGTGGTTCACCGTGAATTTCCTCAAATCCGACCATGTGAAATCCGGGTACTCTCTTAGCGATAATTTTATTATATCTTTTGGGGGCCTCACTATTTTGTCGTCTTTTGGGTTCACAAAGAATACTAATGATTTTCTCGCTCTCTCCTTATTCACCACTGCTCTGTGGAGGCAACTCTTGTATTTCCCGTTCGATAACGCCTGCATGCATGTGTACGCCCAAACAATATTAACCTTTATTAAATATTTCATTTTTTGCTAATATTGCATAAGTTAATTACAAATAATCCACTTAATTTATCTATCTGTCTTTTGAAATTTGAAAAATCCCAGGTCAAAATTGGAGACCCTGCACACAGCAATTTTCCCTAATAAACAATCACTACAATTCAAAATAAAAAAGTAACTTAACTAAAATATTATGATTCATAATTTTAATATTATCTTCTCTTTTTCTACCTGACGCTTGTCTTCATCGAAAGTTAAGATTTACTTTATTTACTCAATGCCTCGATAGAAACAAAAGATACAATACACATACAAACAAACAAACAAACAGAGGGTAGCGGACGCGGTACAAGTTGTAAAAACCAAATTTACCATGGTTTGATATATTAGCAGTCAGCATAATAAAGAAATGGTCCCGCGCGTCCTTTGTCTTTAGCGGAACTCGTATCATAAAAAATCACTTAAAAGTTTTATCTTTATTAGGCCAGGTAGCAGGCCACCGCATCCTTTCAAATCCAGATGTAAGAATACGAATATTTTATAACGATACTCGTAATTAATATATACAAAGATTATATATACTCGTAATTAATATTGCTATTAGCATATAAGTAACGATTTGGAGATATAATTAGTAAGGTTTAATTAAAATATACCATGAATGTGTCCCCGATGTTGATGACAAATGCGCCAGGGAAAGGTTTAACGGCTTGCCATTTTCCGTTAATAAAGATTTGTAAACCTCCGACTTGATCTTGGTGCAGAATAGTCAACGAGTTTGGATCACAATGAGGTCCTGTGCCGAGAGTAACTCCGGCTTCAATGCACGGCGGATAATGATTTCCCCTCACAATCGAGCTCCCGTCTTTAAAGAACTCTTGAAAATACCCTTGCTCAACTCCCAAGCTAATTGCCAGGAGCTCAAATATTGCCAGGGACAGTTTCTTCATTGCCTCACAATATTTCTCATAAATAAACCTTTTTGCAAACATAGTCACACGTTACCAAATATAAAAAATACGAATAATATAATTATATATGTTTTAATTATTAAATCTTACCCTGCTTCCTCAAAATCTTGGCCAAGGAGGGATTTTATACGGTCGGCCACATTGCCGTTTTCGTAATCGTAAGCGAAGGAGAAAGTCTCCTTCCACGGAAGTCTTGACGAGAACCTATCCGCGTGGGCCCCCGAGTAGCCGCAGAGCTCACCCTGTTTTCTTTTAACGGCGAGCTTTCGGGTTAGGGGAAGGCTGAAGAAGCTGTCCATTTGGTCTTGGGCCGCGCAGACCAGTGTGGGGTCCACGCCATGGTTGATAATTTGGAAGAAGCCATGGTTTGAGCAGGCGGTTCGGATTTGGGCTGCGGCTGAGTGGGTTGAGTCTCGATTGCCGTTGAAGAAGCCGGTAAGGTCGATGGGCGGATCTTTGAGTTCGTGGGGTTGGGTAGTATGGGCTAAGTCCTCGGGGGGCCACACGAACTGTGTGGGTAAGTTGGTTTGGTTATGGTGGAGGAGGGAAGATAGAATGAGGGTTGAGGCACTTGACTCCATGAAGGATGTTGATGTTGTTTGGTACATGTGTTGAAGAATTTGGAGTAAGTGGAACCTTATTTATGTAGAGGGCTTGGGAAGGAGAGTCGAGAGATTTACATTTCCACGTCATATATTCTATTTATTATTATTATTATTATTATTATTATTATTATTATTATTATTATTATTATTATAATTATTAAATGGAATAGGATGATAGGAAAAGACTACAATCTCGTCACGGAATGATTCTGTGAGGGTTTTTAGCCATTAGATATACAGTTATTGTAGATACATGGAAGTTACATGTTTATCTAAAACTCTCACGGAAACATTCTTCTGAAGGGATTGTATCCTTTTTCATGATAGGATGATATTGAAAAGTATAAATGATCCGTCAGATGCATGGAGTCTAACAATAAACTAGGGCTGATCATGGGACTCGGAGAATTCTGAACCGTTCCGAAAACCAAACCGAAATCACTTTGAACCGAAAAATAACCGTTGACCGTTTGACTTTCTCCGAATCGAACCGAACCGAAAAAATAATTGGTACGGTTCTGGAGATTTCACAAATATTCGTACCGAGAACCGAACCCAATCGTCCCGTACCGTACCGAACCGAAGAACTGAGTTATAAAAATAGATGTGTGAGATTAATATATTTTATGTCAATTATGATTCTATATAATTTGAAAAGTTCAAAAATGAAAATAAAATATAGTTATAACAAGTAAGTTTCACTTAAATTTCATGCTTATAGTAATACTTGAGATCTACAATTGAATTTTCCTGGTTTAAGAAAAATATATTTAAAATTGCATGAAAGGTTAATTAAATATTATTTAAAAAAATATTTAAACATTACTTAAATTTGTCGATACTAGTCTTATTCTATCTTATAACTAACATGGTATGGAAGATAAAAGAAATATTACTTTAATAAAAAAAATATTATATTTTGTTTGAATTTTGAATTTTCAATGTAAGTTGCACAAAATTAGTCTTAACTAAAACTCAGAGTTATTTCTCCAGTTGATTTAAAAATAAAATCTTTAGTATGATAAAGTATTGATGATTGTTAGATTTAAAAAAAAAATATAAAAATTAAAATACAACTAAGTGGCCATTCAAAAAAGTTTAAAAAATAATTAGAAATCTCCAAATATCCGAACCGAACTGTTTCGATAGTCCCGAAAACTGAACCGAACCAAACCAAAAAATGAACATATCTGAATCGAACCAAACCGATTTTTTGGTACGGTTTTGGAGGTCAAATTTTAGTAATCTCCGAACTTCGGTACGGTTCCGGAGATTGAACCGACCCATGCTCACCCCTACAATAAACCATATGATTCCCATAAATGAGATTAAAGTTTTTTTTTTTTTTTTTTTTTTTNGATAGGCATTCTTATTCAATAAAAACAAAAGGGAAACTTCCTTAATACAGCTGGAGTGAAAAGAGAGTACCATACATCATGTATGGCCTAGACAAACACCACAAATTAGCATTTAGGGCACCGTCAGGGCTGAAGACAACAATATCAACAACTTACGAAGTAACCAAAAGAAAAAGAACAACAGAGATAAACATATAACAATTACATAGCCAGTGACACAAGACTAATTAGATACTTAACAATCACAGTCATACTCTTCCAGCACCTTTGCACTCTCTGAAGTCCAACCAATCTTTGAAGGCTCCTTTGACTATCATATGTTCAAGTTTCCAGACACCTTCAAAGGCCCCTAGGTTTCTAGTTTTCAACGACCACCATTAAATGTAGGTAGATAGCTTCTTCTCTCAGAAATGTCAGTGTGATCCAATGAACTAAGCCACTCCACAGATCCTGCAGGTTGCTTCTCCTAGTGAACATGAACTATTTTCCACACCCTCTTGGCTCTTCTGCACTGGAAGAGAATCTGCTCCATTGATTCTTCTTCTTCTTCTTCCCACAACCTCTACATCTAACATCCAACTCCACCTCTCTTTTAGCAACATTACCATCACAAGCAACACACTTGAGAAATTTTTTCAGATGAAATTTTTAACTTTGCCCTGAACCCTTCAGTTTCCAACGCCTCAACCGTGCTTCTTTGTTCTTTTTAGCAGCTAGACTATATTTGATCTATGTTGCCCCCGAACTTTTTCAGCAACCATTTTAGCATAAGTATTTGCCACAGTGAATCTCCCTTTAGTGCCAAATCTCCAGATCCACTTATCCTCAGTCTCTAGATCAAGAGATGTTATCTAAAAAACTTCTTCACAATCAGCTTCCTTGAAATACGTACTCTCCCAAGTTTCTCTCATCCCATCTTCAGCCATTTTCCGCCATCAGATCAGCCACCCATACTACATTTCTTCTCAATTTATCCTTCACTTCTACTGGTCCCTCCCCCAACCAATTTCAATCCCTGATGTTTGTTGATCTCCCAATTTTTATTTCAATTCTTAATCCCTTCTGAAGTTGAGGCAAAACACCTAGCGATCAGTTATATAACTAGGAGAGTTTGGTGTTTTCTTACATTTAAAAATCGAGTGTTCTGCAATGTACCTTCCCTTTGTCATTCTGCTCACCAAAAGATCTGGTTTAGTTTCAATCATCCACAATTGTTGATCTACAAAGCCTGGTTGAAAAGAATAACATCCTAAAAACCCAACCCTCCCAGCTCCTTTGACATTGTAAGGTCTCTCCATGCTTTTCAGTGTATGCCCTTGTTCTGATCTTCTCCTATGCTCCACCAAAAGTTGGCACACAGTTGGGCAATGTCCTTGCAAGTGATCTTAGGAATCTGAAAACAGTTCATCACAAAAACTAGAAGACCATTCAAAACAGCTCTGATTGACACTTCTTTCCCCGCAATAGAGAGAAACGTATTCTTCCAATTCACAATTCTAGACCTAACTGCATCAACCATAAATTGGAAAGTCTCCATCTTGGATTTCCCAATTGCAAGGGGAAGCCCCAGTTATGTACTTGAGTTCTGCATCCTAATCCCCTCAAAAATACTACAAACCCTACCCTTAACAATATAAGTAGAGCTTTTGCACAAGAAAATGGAAGATTTTCCTAAGTTAACGTTCTGCTCTGTAATGGATTTAAACTACTACAAGAAGTGATTCAACAAATGGGTCTAGTTGTCATCAGCTCGGCACAAAATTAGAGGGTCGTCAACAAATATAAGATGGGTAAGCATAGGACACCCCTTAGCTAATCTCACTCATCTAAACTCACCCCAACCTCAACATTAATGGAAACAAACAACACACCTGAGAGACTAATTGAAAAAAGTAAAGGGATTTAGGATCCCCCTGCCTCAAACCCCTAGAAGGCTTAACAGACCCACGAACTTTTCCATTATGCTTTAAGGAAAAACAAGAAGTTGAGATGCAAACAAAAATCCATCTGAAAAATCTAGCATGGAAACCTATCTTAATCATAATGTCTCTCACACAATCCAATTCAATATCATAAGTTGTTGAGAACAAGGCACACTAAGGAGATTCAATTCCCGGAGTGGCTGTCTAATACGGTTATGGTGTCGAAGTAGGAGGGTAAGTGGCAGATGTGCATTGACTTCTGAGATTTGAATTAGGCATGCCCATAGGATTTGTACCCATTTCATCGGATCAACCAGCTGGTCGACTCTACTGTAGGATGTGAAATACTCAACTTAATGGATGCATCTCAGGGATATCATCAAATTCCTTTAGCCCGAGAAGACAGAAAGATGGTGAGCTTTGTGACGAGTAGTGGAATGTTTTCTTATGTGGTGATGCCATTTAGGCTAAAGAATGTTGGAGCATCATATCAAAGGTTGGTAGAAAAAAAAATTTCAAGGAGCAGCTCGGTCGAAATATAGAAGTTTATGTGGATGACATGTTGATGAAAAGCAAGAAAGAAGCTGATCATGTAAGCAATTTAAGGGAGACATTCGCAACGTTGAGAAGGTAAGGGATGAAACTCAATCCGGCTAAGTGTTCATTTGGAGTGAAGTAGGGGAAATTTTTGTGGTATAAGGTGACTAAACGGAGGATCGAGGTGAACCTGGCGAAAGCTCGAGCTGTAGTACAGATGAAGCCACCAACAAGTGTAAAGGAGGTGCAGGTGCTCACATGTCGAATTGTGGGCTTGAGCTAATTTATTTCGAAGTTGGCGGAAAAGAGTGGGCCATTGTTCAGAACACTAAAGAAGAGCTTGAAGTTCATCTGGACCGAGGAAGCTTAAAAGGAATTTGAGGAGCTGCAGGACGTGCTGACTAACTTGCCTTTGATAGCTAAATCGTTTCTAGGGGAGGATCTGGTGCTCTATATTTCGACCGGTGAGACGGCAGTGACCTCGGTGTTGCTTCAGGAGAAGGGCATGGCCCAATTCTCGATCTATTATGTCAGCAAGGTGATGCAAAGAGCTTAATTGAGGTATTCGAAGATCGAGAAGTGTGCCTTGGCGGGGTTGGTGACAGTGCGAAAGTTGAGACCATCTTTCTTGAATCATAGGGTGAAAGTGCGGACGAATATACCACTAGCAGAAACATTATGTCGACCCTCTGTCTCAGGTCGACTAGTGAAGTGGGCAGTCGAGTTGAGCGAATAATCTATTGAGTATGAACTGTGGAGGGTGATCAACGCTCAAGTGTTGGCCGACTTCATTCAGGAGGGCATGAGATTGGAAGTAGAAGTCGAAGGAGTGTGGCAGTTGTTTGCAGATGGTTCTATTCGAGAAATGGAGCAGGCTTGGGCATCATGCTCATTTCGTATAGAAGAGATAGTCTTGAATTTGCAACTAAGATGGGGTTCTGAGTTTCGAATAATGAGGCTGAGTACGAATCGGTGATTAAGGGATTAAAGCTGGCCATAGTAGGTGGAGCTCGAAAGATTCAAGTGCACTCAGATTCCCAGCTGGTTGTCGGAAAGTTCCAGGAGGGCTTTGAAGTGAAAGAGAAAAGAATGCAGAAGTATGTGGATGAGATGAAGAAGTTGCAGGGAGAGTTTAGTTCATTGGAGCTAACACAAGTACCTCGAGGAAAGAATGGTCGAGCTAACCTGTTATCAAAGGTAGCCCAGAATTTGGTAGACTGCAAGAGTATGAGTGTGACTTTGCTACACATAGAGAAGAGTGTCGTCAAGGACGAAATGGCAGAGATCGAGGAGGTTGAGGATTGGAGGGCCCCAATATTGAAGGTGTTGAGAGAAAGAACTCTAAAAGTGATAAGGAGATTTTTCGAGCAGGGGAGAGTCTTCTATAGGAGGTCTTATGCAGGACCACATTTTAGGTGCGTGACTAAGGAAGAAGTTCGATATGTTCTGAGGAAGGTACATGAAGGTTGTTGCAGTGATCATAGTAAAACGGGGGCGTTGGTTGCGAAAATACTTCGAGCAGAATATGTTTGGGCGACAAAGAAGGTTGACGCAATGTCGATCGTGAAAACATGTTTGCAGTGCCAGAAACATGGTCCACTAATTCATCAACCGGCAGAGACGCTGATGATTATGAGTGCCCCCATTTCATTCGCGTAGTGGGGGATCGACCTGGTAGGACGATGCCCCAAGAAACAGGCCAAAGGAAATTTTTATCGTGGTGGTCGATTTCTTTATGAAGTGGGTGGAGGTCGATCCCTTGGCCAAAATAACGGAGGACAATGTCATACACTTTTTATATAACAATATTTGTTGCCGGTTTGGAGTCCTAAAGGTGTTGGTGTCCAATAATGGAACGTAATTCAATGGCAAGCGGACTCAAGCATGGTGCGAGGACATGAAGATCAAGCAACACTTTGCAACTGTAGGTCACCCGCAATCCAATGGACAAGTCGAGTTGACCAACAAGATTATACTGAACAGGCTAAAAACAAGGCTCGAAAAGGCTTCGGGGGCGTGGGTCAATGAGCTTACGTCGGTACTTTGGGCATATAGGACGACCCCACGGTCGATGACAAGATAAAACCCTTTCAGTCTGGTCTATGGGATAGAGTCATTGTTACCAGTCGAAGTGGAGCTGGAGTCTCAGAGTTCGAGTGCATATGATCACTGTCAAAACGAGGAGTTAATGCTAGAGGCCCTGGATAGGATCAAGGAACTTCGAGAACAGGCAACAACCAGAGTCGAGGCGTACAAGCAGAGGATGCTTGTAGCCCATGACAGAAAGGTGAAAATCCGAAGATTTCAAGTAGGTGACTTGGTGTGAAAATGAATCAACGTGCTCAAACATGTGGGTAAGCTAGAGTCAAACTGGAAAGGACCATACTTTGTCGAAATGGTGCATGCTGGAGGAACATATTCATAGAAGGATGCCGAAGGGCGATCGCTAGCCAAGTCATGGAACGTTGCAAATTTGAAGAAATACTATGTTTAAATTTATTTTTTCTTGCTCATGGATTGGGTTGAATATTGTAATTTATCTTTATACTCGTAACTACTGGAGTTCTATGTTCCTGTTGTATATCATTGGATTATCAAGTTATCTTTTTGGTGCATTTTAGTGTGACCTCGGTGGGAGGTAGGGGTGGGTAAAAAAACCGGATTTCCCGATCCCGAACCAGACCGAAATGGTCCCGTTCCGAAAACATAGGGTTCCAATCAGTTTTTAAAATTTTCGTCCCGGTCCCGGTCCCGAACCGGTTGAAACAATGTCGGTATCGGTTTTTAATATTTTTTTCACGAACCGTCCCGTTTGTCCCGTTTTATTTTTTTTGTACAAAAATATTATATATATATATATATATATATTATACATTAATTTATATTTATTATTGAAATCTTAACAGGCTTTTTTTTTTACAAAAATCTTAACAGGCTTTTTTTTATTGATGAAAGGAAAGCCCAATTCACTTCTGTCTGTTAACTGTTAAGACAATTGGCCCACAAAAATGAAAACGTTAAGTAATAAAGTAATACACATTAAGTCATTTTTATTTACGGGCACAACGCACAAACTACAGAATCCAAATTCCCAAATTCCCAATTCAGTTAACATTTTTTTTTAAGTGAAACAGCCAAACAGACCAACAGAGAATAGTTTAGTTTGAAGTTTGATTTTTGAACATTTTTTCCCGTTTTGTCCCGGTCCCGAGCCGTTTCGTCTTGGTCCCGATTGATACCGTTCCGTTTGGGACGAGGTGTCGTCCCGGACCGGTCCAAAAAACCGGGACAGGTCCAATCCCGGATCGTCCTGGACCGTGCCCACCCCTAGTGGGAGGTCACCTTGAAATATTAAAATCCACCATGATGAAGGCTTACAAACTGGGTGGTCGATCTGAGTGCAAGGTCGAAGAAAAAACCCAATATGATTAAGGTCGTGAGGCTGGGTAGTCGCTTGTTTTGAACATCCCTGTGGGGTGGGCAAGTGGTTCACAAATCCAGCAAGATTAAGGTTGTGAGGTTGGGTGGTCGCTTGTTTTCAACATCCTTTAGGGTGGGCCTATGGTCAAAGAAAAATCCACCATGATTAAGGTCGTGAGGCTGGGTGGTCACTTGTTTTGAACATCCTTTGGGGTGGACAAGTGGTCGAAGAAACAAATCCACCATGATTAAGGCCGTGAGGTTGGGTGGTTGCTTTTTTGAAAATCCTTTGGGGTGGGCAAGTGGTCGAAGAAACAAATCCACCATGATTAAGGCCGTGAGGTTGGGTGGTTGCTTTTTTGAAAATTCCTTTGGGATAGGCAAGTGGTCGAAGAAAAATCCAACATGATTAAGGCCATGAGACTGGGTGGTTGAAGAAAAATCCACCATGATTAAGGTCGTGAGGTTGGGTGTTCATTTGTTTTGAAAATCTTTTGGTGGGCAAGTGGTCGAAGAAAAAATCCACTGTGATTAAGGCCGTGAGGCTGGGTGGTCACTTGTTTTGAACATCCCTTTGGGGTGGGCAAGTGGTCGAAGAAAAATCCACCATGATTAAGGCCGTGAGACTGCGTGGTCACTTGTTTTGAACATCGTTTAG